ACGATGGCAGAAACTGCATTTGCCTCGACAGCTCGCATCGGCTATAGTGGAACGAATAATCGTTTGTTAACGGCAACTTATGAACAAATTATGCTACAATTACCATTTAATTAATTCTACTTTCTCACATTTATATATGTAATTTAATAGATAACGCAGAGATATCGATCGGCGAGATACGATCGTCCATCCGCGATGCAATTTACGATAAAATATTCGACCGGACGTTAACGAGCGGTACCGGAAGCTCGTAGACAAATAGCAATTAGAGGACACCGATGTTCCCGTCCGAAACAAGAACAAAAGGTCGTGTAAGCCCGCGCGCGGATCGATTCGACAAGATTTATATTCGACGGCGCGTCCTTGGGAAATAGAGACCGAGAGACGAGGGTATAAAGAAGGTGCTCGAAAAAGAGCTGTCGAACAACTATGAGGACAGTGAGTCACAATGGTTCCTCAGCGGATACCTCTCGCGGTGGCCTACGTACGACTATAGCACACAAACGCCGTATACTCTAAGGGACTAATATCACCCGTTGCTGTCGAAATATTGGCGTTCGGCCAAATGGAAATAAATAAAAGGACCAAGAGGGACTAGTGCTGCCGGGACCATTCTCTGACGCGACACATTCGGATGCATCACGTATGTGACGTTATACACGCTACCGCATCGCTTTAAATTCGTCAGATATGAACAAAACACCGATGCACCTGTGCTCCGATCTGAATACAACATACAACTCAATGTGGAAAGCGATTCGATTTGACTCACAAAGTTAGTAGGTACGTTCTTACTGAACACATAAAAGAAAGAATTATTAAAGCTGAAAAACGCGATAGAATTTTATAAAATGTAACTTTACGAAGCAACGATCGAATGTTATTTCGTGCTATGAGCTATTCGGCTGAGAGATCTTGAAATGCAACAAAGCGGCTATGACTAAAGTGACCCGTTGTTACTTTCTTCTTCCGTTATTTTCCAACGCTCTTTAATATGAAGGTCCATTTTATCAACGTGATCTCTCTATTCGTCCGCTTTACAACTTAAGCACCACCATTTTCATCGCTCGCTTTTTAACTGCCTCCTTCTCTTTTTCCCCGTCATTTTTCTCTTTCATCGAGAAATACATTTTCTCAGAAATCTCAGAAATTTTTTGTACCTCGCACGATTATCATCGCGGATTTAATGAAAGAATCTTTAACGTTATCTCTCTTTAATTCGCGCGCGCGAATATATCCGTACTGCAACGACAAAGGTGGATTTCACGCGCGAACGCGTGGCAGTGCAAAGTCATCTAAACGCTGGGGCAACATTAATAATGGCGCTAAAGCTCACATCTATTTGTATTTGTACACTAACATAAGAGAACAGAGAGGGAGCACATAAAAGCATGCAACATCGGCCAGTGCACGATTTGCACGCCAAACAAGGTGCTTTAAAGCTATCTGAATCGTGCTTGGATATATTGTTTCCCTCGTCACAGACATGTATACGCGTATTAGAGAATTAACACCTCTCTACAGTAGAACAAAGAAACATAATGCAATAGCATACAATGGGATAAGATGTCGCATTAATTTCGCAAATTAGATATAATTAACAGATTAAAAATTCTGTACGTCATTCTCTCTGAGAAATTTATAAAATTAATATTCTCTTAGATAAAGTGCTTTTCTGTGCTTGTGATGCTCATATTTCAAGTTAAAAAATATATTAAGAGATTTCAAGTTAAAAATATTTCAAGCTGAAAATATTATTAAAAACATTTCTTACCTCTTTCGCGTACTTATCTTCTAACTCGAGTCTCTCTCGATTAACTTCGAGGGAGATCAGAGTATCTAATTTTTCTTGAGTTGCGTCTTCACCCGCCGTCCTCAGTGCCGCTTTCACTTTAGTTTCGTTGACTGTCTGTAATTAAATAATTTCTCTTTGAAAATACTGACTATTATCAATGCGATATTAAAATATCAATTCCATGTAAAAATCATGGTTTAACATGAAAGCGTTTCGGAAATATGAATTTAAAGACTTTAATATTTATACATTAAACGATGCTAAAAACTCACTCTTAATTTCTCCAGCTCTTTTTGCAAATTGTTGACTTTGTGATACATATGCAATACGAATAAATCGAAGGCTTCTTCGCTGACAGAGAGCTTCTTATCATGAATATTTATATTGGGAAACAGAATTTGTAATTCTTCATTAAAATTCTCTCGTGCTGTTTGAACCTGCTTCCAATAACGCTCCGCGACGTTACCACTCTGTAATTCATCGGTGTATTTTTTCTTAGCTTCGTCCACATCGTCCATAATTTTTCTAATATTTCGCTTCGCAGCCGTTTTCATGTGAGCGGCCGCTTCAAGCACAGGCTCATCGATTAGATTGTACATACGCTTAAGCGAATCTAACGCATCTTTCGCGTGCTCTTCCGCTTGCTGTACAGTTTGTTTTCTCTTTTCTGTTGCCTCTTTCAACCTGCAAACGTAACAAATTTGATTACATAATCGATATACATGTAAGGTGTAAACTGATTACATAAGCATATAGCGATAATTACCTTTGCCAGATGATTCCGCTTACTGTAGTACCAGCACTTTCAATCACTTTGACAACATCCTGATTGTATTCTTGAAGAGCGTACACTGCCTTCTGATAGGCCGTAATAGCTTTACCAGCAGCTTCTCCACAGTATGTTTCTAACTCGATGAGATTTTGTGGTATTAATTCATCGCGTACAGTTTTGGCAGGAGATGCTGGCTTTTCAACCACTATAAAAAATATGAATTATTTGATTATCTTCCACTTAAACTTTGTAAAATGAGAAACAATGCAAACGTACCAACATCTACTTTTTCTCCCTTGTCTTTACTAACACGAATTTCGGTATAATTCTTGTTAGTAGGCGCTTCTTTCTGGTCGGCCAGTGGTTTAAAAGCTGGCTTAGGCGCTACAGTATACACATGCGATTGTTAAAAGTTAGTGAGAACATTATTTACTAAGTATGTAATATGTATAATTCTAAAAAGAATCGAGGAAAGAAATTAGGGATTAAATCCAGAAAACTAGAAGAGAAAGTATAACAGGAAAAAAATAAGGTATGGACAGGAATTAAGGAATTAGGACTCACGTATGTATTCTAGAATTTTTGTGTACTGTATTCTTGTCTGACCTGGTTCTGGTTCTGATGCTTCCTTGATGAACATGCCTAATATCCTGTAAAAAAACATCCATGTTTCAATGAAGTAATCAATCATTGCTATATATAATTTTTATTTTCTTACGTCTGCTTCACTGTTTCGAAGAATGTAAGTACAAAGTCAAAATAGCTGGAATTCTTATCTTCTTGAAAAATAATCCGGATAGTTTCGTCCGTACCAGGAATCCATCCTTCAAGGGTAGCTCGAAACTTTGGATTTCCTTTCGCATATGTTAATATTCCTAAGGTACTTATTGTTACAGCGCCTAGAGTTATCAGCATTTCTGATCCTCGACTTTTGACACTGTTATAAGAAACGTAAATAATTAAAGTACATTTATTGATTAAATTGATCATTTCTTCTCTCTCGTGATATGATCAAATTTACACAAATGTTTGGCTTATATAAAATCACATAAAAACAACAGAAACACATATTAATTTAATAAATAATATGCTAAATATTATAATTCATGTTCTGAGTATACCTTTTTGGTGCGGTCGAATATTTCGGCCCTGTAAACCTGGATATAAATCTGACATCTCTGCATAATCTAAAAAAATATATATAAATCTATATTTTTGTGTATATTTATTATAGTCAAAATGTTAACTCAGTAAATGTATATACTTGTAGTCTTCTGTAGACAGATACATTGACTAGTAAGTATATATAATATATTTACTAAAGTTAATATTTTGATTGTGACACACTATACACATAGAAATATAATACACATATCAAAAAATTATTAAGCCTATTCCTTTTAGCTAAACTTCTTACACATTCATATTTTTCCTCTTTTCTTTGTCTAACATGGACAGTAAATAAAAAAGAAAAGCTATAATTCAATTACAAGAATTTAATTAAAAAAAAAAAAAAAAAAAAAAAAAAACAGACCTTTTAAGTAAAATTATATTACTTGTCACAGATTGACAATTCTCGTTCTAAGTAACGACTTAACAAACTTGTCAAATACAGTGGTGATAAAATCATAAACGTGACAGATGCTATTCATAAAATTACCCATCCTTATTTAAGGAAAACACACACATAAACATAACCTCACCACGTTCCGATTTCACCTCACGAAATTGATCGTAAATAACATAAAAACATAGTGTCACTCGCGTTTTGAGATTCACAAAGCACGAGGACGATCTCCAGTGAATAATGACAGGTCTAACAAGCGATGAAACCTGTTGAAATCTGAACTTTTGTTGATGAGCTCACCTTCCATCCGGCTCGTACTTGACACGTGCCCGTGACTCGTAGTACCTGGCGGTCAGATGTGGCCTGGAGCAGCCGTGTTTTTTTACCTGAAAGGGTAAACGGCGTCAAGATCAGAGAGAAGCTTTTGGAGTTACATAAGCCTTCTTGAAAACATGCCATCTTTGTCACGCGCGCGAGCCGGGATCAAACGCCGACCGCGATCGGACGTTCATGAAGGCGGATCCTTGGGATCGCCGTCGTCGTAGTTTATTCGACTCCACGACGCTCGTCGTCGACCATCGGTGACGTGCGACAGCCGACGGCGGTGGAATCGGTCGGCGCGGGATCGTCGCGCGACACTGTCGCGAGGACACGACGTCACACTATCGTGTCATCGTGCGGTCGCTCCGCGACGATTCCTCGCGGTATCTTAACGCGGACGGTCTCACCCGGATGATCGCGTCCCGCCCGTCTGCGGTCCTCCCGCACGTGATTACGTACCCGATTCAGACCGTTGTACGGAAATTTTAATCCAATTCGGAACATCTTTCGAGTGGCCGGTCGGGCAGCCAGCGGGAAAAGGGGAACGAGGGCACGGGGGAAACAGCTGGCCACTGGGACCGGACGGAACTCGACGGAACTGCGCGAAAAGAAGAATGCTGCGTGCCGTGAGCGCGGCGCTGCGAGGTGGGTGTACGCGTGGTCCACGGCCGATCCTGCGATCGGCGATCACGTCGCGAGGCGTTGTCACGTGTCGGCCGTACGTTGCACCATGATAGACCTGCGATTTCACGTCCGATTGTGTCGCGAACAACAGAATATAAGACGTCGGGAGGTTAGGTTTGCCTCGCCGCGGTCGCCATGACACGAGGCTGACGGAGGGAACGCTGCGGAATCAGAACGCGGGCGCGTATTTAAACGTTCACTTGAGGGTTCTCTTCTCGCACGAATATCCAAATTTACATCTTCTTTGTGCATCTTTTATCCGCAGGATTTTTATATTTAATTTATCTTTCTCCTAATTAAATTCAGTGTAGATCAATGAGCAAAAAATTCCCAAGTAATCTGTACGTCTCAGTTCGAAAAAATCAACCTATGAAACAATTCTCAGTAAATATAATACCATCTAAAATATATAATATAACATCAATCATCAATGTTAGAATCACATTCAACAATATAAATGTAATGTAACATGTATTCGATAATAGTTACATTAGCAGAGAAAGTTTAGCTTTGCAACTTTTATAAAATTCTTTAATGTAATTGGTTTCGCTTTTTGTTCCTCACTGGATCTAAATGTAAACAGTTTATAGATTCAAGCCCAGCAAATAAGTTTATAAATGTCTAAAGTTTATACATTTAAACCTAGTAAATACATTTCAAATCACATTAAAGAATTTTTAGAAGTTATAAAGTTGCTTTCTCTACTGAACGTAGTCATTATCGAGTGTGAAATCATAATATTGATTTATATTACTTTTAATTAGTATTTATGGAGATTTTTTCTTTCCATTTTTGTAATTTTTTATCTTGCAAGCACATATACTGAATTTAATATTTCAGGAATTGCAGCGAGGGTGACAAGTACAAATGCAACAAATTGCATTACTTCAAGATGCGATCCTCTTTTGAATTCTATACAGCAAAGAGAGTTTGGGGCCCTATCAATTGCTGTTCAGAAATGGGCAGCTGTTGGACCTACGCAACATAAGACACTAAAGTAATGTAGAATGTTGGAGAAGTGATTATGGAACGTGTTGATTTCTATGTAAGATACCAAGTTGCTACATAAGAGTAATATTATCCTTTCAGCCATGCAGTGACGGAAAATCGTTTAGCTTTACCAACAGAACCTATCAATGTACCAGTAAGAACGGTAATCAAGTTTTCTATGTCAAGAGGAAAGCGGCAGACCGTGAAGACAGTTTTAAAGCGTTTCTACCGACTGAACTGGTAATATTTCAAGGATATATCAAGCATATAACAATATTGAAAATTATAGATTGCACCAAATATTTCTGAACGATCTTGTCATTGATCGATTCTTATATTTTGAAATTGTTTTAAGATGTCTAAATTTTAAAACATGACAAATCACTGACATTTACATCTTAACCCCTAGTATACACTATTGAGTTATGTCCTGCATATTTCTTTTCTTGAAAAAACTAGTATCACATTAGGATCAAATTAGTTACAGCATTCATGTATAATTTTTTTTTCTAATATACACAATCTTACAAATAATTTTTAAAGATAGTACTTTTGAGGCTTTCTAGTATTTTTACACAATCTTACATAAATACTTTCTATAAAAGCTATAGTTTTCGGGATTATCTCTGTGTCTGTGTTCATTTTTTTTTTTGGAATATTAATATTTCGTAAACGTCGCACTTCACTTTATAATACTTTCTAAAGATATTAAAGTATTATATATGGAAGAATCACTTACTAATTTTTCTAAGTTTGTTAAAGTGATGGAAATTAAACCTGGAACACAAACGACTCATTGTGTGTAGTAAAGAAGTGGAAGATCGTCGTGTATACTAAGTGTAAGACACAGTTAATTCTTAACCAAGGCTCACATTTAATTTCTCATCTTTTTCCACTTCTAAAAAAATTAATTAAACCTCGGTTAAGAGTTAGCTGTAAATTATGAAACTCTGAATCTCAAGAACAAGTGTCAGTCATTTGTAGAAACTCAACTCCGAGTGATATAAAATAAAATATTGCAGGGGTATCTGGATTAGAACAAGATCAGGTCGACACAATAAGCTATGGACAAAATCGACATCCAGAAAGAAAAGGCTGAGGAAACACGTGTTCTGCAATGCCACGCAGTCGACGCTTCTGGACAAAATGGTATCCAAGTACTGGAAGAGACGGCACTATTACGTTGACGATCCATACGAACCGTATCACGACCGCGAAGAGTTCATAATAACTCGGAAAAAACCGTTACCTTATTCATAATCATTTAATAGTTAATTGCTAGATTATAAGCTTTTGATTGAAAAGATATTAAAGAATAATGCTATTAAAAAAATAGACCGCATTTTCTTTTACTTAAATATTCTTTTACTTAAATAGGTGTACAAATTAGTTCGGTCCGTTTTTTGTGTTCAAAAATACATTTATTTCAAAACAAAATGAATGAACAGATTAATTAAAATATTGTCCATCGCTGGTTACTATTTTTTCCCATCTCTCAGGCAATTTTCGAATTCCATCTCGAAAAAATGACTCATCTTTGGAGGCCATCATCTTTTGAAAAATGGACCGAACTAATTTGTACTCCAATATTAATACGCTTATTACGTAATCAAATATCACTGTCTATTTTTCTGGATGTATCATAAAATATTCTGTGTAAATATTTATATAATGATTTACATAAATATATATTCATCTTTAAATCATCTTATAACATCTTTATATCCAGATTTTAATAAACAGTCGAATATATTGGCTATGTTCAACAGTCGAGTAAGCGCTCGCAGCTATTGATGTATTCTGCTAGATTTAAAAGTCTGATTGGATGATCTAAAAGAATACACTAATAACAACGAATGCTTTACTCTGCACTCACTGAGTCTGTTGAACGCAGCCATTAATTAGTATTTATACACACTATTATTATTATTATATTAATATTACATAGATAAATAAAATAATTTACAGAATATTAATTATTAATAAAAATAAAATTTTTCTCTGTAATTCCCCGCTCCTTTTTACAATAAATGCTCACGTGCTTAATTGCAAAATTACTAACGATGCATGCAATTCATGGTTTTCATCGCAAGATATTGGAGTTGTTTATTTGGACGATCGGTATCGCTTTAAAATGATAAGATAACACATTCCGCAACATCATACTCGTTTTCGCGAACGTTCTCATTTATACAGTCTCTATGTTTCTCTTTTATTCTTTTTTCTGCCAATTTGTCTAAAATATTGCATAAATCGTTCTCTTCGCTTTTTTTTATCTGTAGATCACGTGGTTGGACCTCTACGTGCCGCGTGACACTCGATCGAGAGAGCTGAGAACGTGGCCTCAGTTGCGTTTCGTCCTTCACGGCGTTCGTATCTCTCGACTTTCATTGACGATTGGCTCCTCATCGCTCTCTGTCTCCCTCTCTCCCCGTATCAACAATTACGTCTCTTAAAAAATGCCGTATCGCGGTAAGTTACGGCTACTCGGTAGAACGTGCCTAGCGTTCGCTAACGCTTGCGGGAAGAGCGAGGGCAGTTCGTGTTTCGCCGTTGCTAGCATTACCGACAGCAGAAACTTCTCCGTAAGCTGTGCGCTCGATATGAGGTGAGCATGTACAACTCAGGGCTGTAACAGATGTATGGAATCTCTTGCGTTTTGGATAATCGAGTCTCCGCGACGTAATTCCGTCGTAGTTCTATTGTTTCGGATGCGAAAGCTCTAACGACGGAAGTCGCTGCTGTCCCAATTTCACAACGATATTACAACAGAGTTAAATTGTTGAATTGTAATTAAGATCGATGTTTTTAATTCTCCGTTTGCAATCTTTTTTTTTTTATTTCCTACATCTACGATATGGGAGTGATATTTCATTCGTGTGTTTTTGTGTGTTTTTGTCATATGACAAATATGTGCAGGGCAGCGAGATCTTTAGATTTCTCTATTCTATATAACCAATCAACAGCTAGATTGTTGAATTAAAAAATTTGTACGACGAAAACGCACAAATGAAATAGCGGCCTTTTTTTCAATCTTTTTTATCCAGCCCAAGTTTTTTTTATTGTTTTAAGTTCCCAAAAAAATTATTTAGAAAAATTCAAGATAATTTCTCTATCACATTACCAAATACTTTTTTAACTCAAATGTAACCTTTATATGCTCCGCTTTTCTTAATTTACTATCTCAGAGAAATTTGAGAGTGAATTATAATTTTGTTTATGCCCAAAAAGATCCAATTATATCAGACGGAGGGTTAAGAGGTTCGTGTTTTGTTCCTGCACTTGAAACTTCCTTTCCTTCTCGCTTTAACCAAATTTCCAAGCATATATCTATTTCATTTTAAATTTGCACTAGTTTCAGAAAGTGTACACTAAGTTTAGCTGTAAAAATGCAGAGGTGGTGAAATGTCGTTGTATATAATCATTTATTGACTGAGATCCCGGCTCCACTAATATGATTAAATTTTGATCCCATTTAATTTATTATTTATCTCTTTTTCTAATTCTTTTCATGTAATTTGCTAAATACATTCCTAGATTCTCTAAACTTATTGGTACCCTGAAAAAATTATAAATCTTAATACATATATATAGAATTTTTTAATAAGTACTACCAATAAGTAAACGCATTTACTTAAATTAAATAAATATTTATTTAAATAAAAATAATAATTAAATCAATGATTCTTGTACCAAATAAATATATATATATTTACATTTTTTAAGTATTTATTTAGAACTATTATTAAAATAAGTATTATAATTAAAATTTTGTACATTTTTTTCAATGTATGTAGAAGATACCAATAAGATTTCAATTGAATTATGAACATTATCTTTAGACATTTATGATATTCGGTCCGATTTTACAATTTAATTGTTCATTCATGTTTACCTGGCGCAACAGTCATGCGTACATCGCGTTGTCTGCCTCTATTAAAAGAGTACACTCCGTAACTACGTACGTATCCGGAATTTAAAAAATCTCTTTCTTTTTCATGTGAAGATCACATGTTTAGTGATGATAATCATCAGTTGGTTGTTAAATAGAGAATAAAAGATGAATAAAATCGTCACTAAATAATTCATAAATAATTAGAGACTTTTAGAGTACATGAAGTTTAGTACAGGAATTTTATTATCATGAAAAATATTATCGGTTGCATTTAGTTTGAAAAATAATTTTATGATAATTGCAATTCTCTTATCGTTGAAAAACTTGGTTATCGAAATATAAAAATTATGAAACGTTTAAATTATGGAAGCATACAATGTATGTACATTTTTCTAAATTGCTTACATTATATTATAGGCCGTAAAACTGCTATATTTTGAAAGACTAAATATTTCTACGTGTACAAACGCACGTGCACGCACACACACGTGTATACATAGAGATACTTATTATGTATGTTAATCGAGAAATGTGTCATCATTTTTACAAGTGTCTTGATAGATATACATGTGTGCGTTAAGATACGTTAAAACTGAAATATATGTGCATTATTTATTCCTTCCATTAAGAGCATTTTATAAAACATTATTTTTTTTTTTTTTTTACACAAAAATTCAATTAATAATTTAAAAATTATTTCTCTCTAGTTGGGAAATTAAAATTATAACTTAATTGTTTATTTTCTGTTTTTTATATATAATTCCGCGTGTAAATTAATTAATTTATCTTTTATATAATTTCCTACGTTTCACCGCTTGTCGTGGTTTCGTGGCGAGCATAAAATGATAACAAACGCGTTACTGTTAGAAAGTGAGATTATGCGTGACGTAATCATTATTTCGATCAGCTCTCATGATTTTCCTGATCGATTAACGCGGCGCCAATTGCAATATAAATATTTTCGCAGGTTCGTTCAATTCATAAGCAAAAATGGTGGCCCGCAGCATCTTGGGGTCCAGCTGAAGCAGGGAGGTGATATTATCGCCGTGTCCGCGGTCGACTCGCGGATACCGAACACATTGAAAAAATTTCTGGAGGGTGGCGATGATCTTCTCAAGAAGGCCAAGAGGTAAGAGTGATTTAAACAGCTAAATCCGGTGCAATCTAGGGAATTTTGAAGATCACATATGAGATACAAATATTTGTGAAAGATAACGATATACCATAATATTTGTACTACACTTGATGCGATCTGTAATCATCTAACGTGATGACGCGTAGTTACTTTTTATCAGATTAAATTTCGCCAGATTGTGGGATTATATGATTAGAAAGTGGTTTTAAAATAGATAAGAGAAAAAGCAACAAGGTCACAATAATGTTACCTTTAATATCGTAATTACCCTCAATTGCGTTATTTTTTTAAGATAACTTCTAATTGAATACTTTGAGAATTAAATACATACGTCTTTTGGACTGAAGAGACATAATTAAATGTTAAATTTGGGATTTCACAAATTTTTTTCCTTGAACCTAGAATTTTAGATTTTAAAACACATAGATAATGTTTTAACGGGTGATGCGAGAAAAAAAAAGATATCCAATTTGAACGTGAACATTTGTTTCGCCAGGGACGACGATTTCGACCTAAGGAAGGCAGTAGAGAGGTTGGTGCTTTCGATTCGTGTAATAAAATAGTTTTCCCCTTTTTTCTTCCATTTTGACTATAGTTATATGTACTTGTTTTCATATAGTCTTTGCTTACGCACATATGTCTCGTTGATCCTCTTTTAGCCAGACTATATCGAACCACACCTTTGACTCTCTTTTTTTAACTGTTATCAATATAGCCTTATCAAGTTTATTGATTTTATATCTAATTTTACATTCTAGAATTTTTCATTCTGCTATTAACAGATATTAACTAAATTCTGAGTTATTATTATTCGCTCGATAAAGTTTTATGGAAAAATAAAGTATACATAAAACAAATACACTCAAGCAATTTCTTACAATCTTATCACATCAAGTACGTAATTTCTTCTCTCTGCGAATAGAAGAAAAAAATAAATTTATATTCAATAATTTCCGGCTCGACATTTTATACAATACTGATGATAAAAAATGTGAGAGTGACTTTGAAACACGACAGCAGTACACACGTACGCCATGCATAATCAATTATATGATGATTGCGCAACGACGAAATTTTAATCGTGTAACAAATAAGATAACTAACTCCTTATCAATAATTCGACGATGGACATCTTGACCGTGATTTGATTTGGGAATGAAAATTCCTGGGACAAAAGGTTGCCTAAATTAAATAATCAGCTTCATAAAAGCTTCCAAAGAAAAATTGATAAATATATTTGAGAACTTATTACCAATCTATATATCGTTCCCGAACATAATAATTAATAAAAAAAAAGAACGCATATCGCGTGACGAATATACAAATATAAGTGTCCTTGTGGATTTTATTTTCAATCATTAGTGGATGATTGCTGTGCATCACGTCATGACGTGACATTTATGAATCTTGCATTGCATGTTTCTGGTTGCTCGACTTATCGATTTCGGTTAAGCCTCGACAAACATCTTCTCTATCGATTGTATCAGCTGTCCCGCTTATTTGCTATCATTGAAAGATTTTCAGCTTTCGCATAATGCGTCATATCGCGTGACATTCAACAATTAACTCTTATCACACACTGCAACTAACTCTCAATCAGACGCAGTTGTTAATATACTAAGGGCGAGTGTTAATACTAATCTTTGTCTTGCATAACGCATAATGCCTAAAAAAATGAATCAATCAAAATCTTTCATTTCTTTCCTTTCATGAAAGATTGATTGTTTTTCTTACGCTTTATGCATTATACGTTATGCAAAAGTCTATGCGCCGGTCTTAACTCAAGAAGGCGCCTTGTTTTGCTGCCAATTGGCAGTCTGTCAAGCTTCTTTAGGAGACAGCTGAAATTTCTTAAGTGAAAGTAGCACGCTTTATATATATAGTGAGTAAAGCAGCGTTTTATATATCTGCTCGATCGTACAAAATAGATTTTCATTTATTTTAAAATTGAATTTATCAATCACATCAGACGTTCTTATATAGTTAATAACAAACTTGGAGTGATAAATGTAATAAATAGTAATTGAATTTGCTTTAACAAAATATTCATTTATGCAATGTCGTTTTCGTTCATTGCTATGGTTCGCGCGCAGAAAAACAGGCATGGACGTTTCTCTGCACAACTTCATTTTATTTATAGAAGAGAGATAAAATTTCTTTCTATGTGTTAAAGTCGAATGTTTTCTACATTCTATATATACTTACAATAATGTAGTCATGTTAAAAGTTACTGCATGCAGTATTTTAAAATTGTACGATATTTATATTATCACTAATAGTCATAAGAATTATAGTAGTGTAAATTACATTTGTAAACTATTCATCTTATTTCATTTTCTCCTATTAAAGATATTTGCGAAGCTTTTCGTCTCTAATTTTTGCAAAAAAAAGTACTGTTATTTTTAAAATATTATTTTAAAATGAAACAAGGATAATTACCCTTATAGAGTTAGTCATAATAATATTAGAACGAGATAATATATTAAATCACAATAATCGTCGTTATTCAAATGAGTATTATACACATGTATTTCATTATGCAAAATTGAATGTCTTGAACATTTAAAATAGATAATTATGATATACTCAAGATGCATTAACTTTTATTAAAAATATAAGTTAAATAATGTAATTTATTTACAAATCATATATTTTACAAGAATTTAAGATTTTGCACGCAATGTTTCTGTTACGTAATCTCATCTCCGCAAGACGTGAATCGATAAGGAAAACATTTACAAAAACTACAGGCACATGTTGCAATGCAATTAATCGGAAATAGTACAGTGAACACAATAGAAACGTAAATTGTGCTGGTTTGATTAGCCGCATGGAATTAATGGCGAGGTATTGAACGTGGGGTAATTGATGATTTAGATATAGGAGTAATTAATGAGGTTATTCTCATTACCATGAGTCGGATTTTCCGGGAAAATCCGTTTGATACCTAGAACCACATATCACTCATCGATTATCATATTTAACAAGATTGTGCATGCAATGGAAAGCGCAGGACGCATTTCCGCATGAGAATTGACTCCAATTTCCTCTTTTGTTATTCTCCGCTGTTTGTTTCCTCTTGCCTCTTTTAACATTGCAAAACTTTTTTTTGTAGAAACTTATGCCACGGTAAGAAAAAAAAAGCAATTTAACCAGGTTTCACCTCGCGTGCGAGTTGATTAACTTTGATTGGACGATTCCGGAGTCTCCAAGACGCTGAATTATGAACGATTGGTTACAGAATAGTCGCCGAGGGACGGAGCATTACGCCCGAGGCCGACGTGAACCTCCTGGCGCCGATCACGCGTATGGACAAGCTCGCCTGCATCGGCCTCAACTACAGCGGACATTGTCAGGAGCAAGGTATACCGACTCCGGAGAGTCCGATAATCTTTAGCAAGTTTCCTAGCAACATTATTGGACCCCGCGACAACATCCTGCTGCCACAGATCTCAGATGTAAGTCGACGATAAAGGAAAAGGAGGAGGAAAATGTCGAGTCGATTACACTGTTCGATAAAATTACTTTTTTTCTCTTTGAAGTATCATACTCTGACGTAGTTTTTTCTATGCTAAACGCGATGTTATTGGCAGAATTTATGTATCACGTTAGGAGTTTGAATAAATTTAGGTAAAATGGCAGTTTTTATCAATATTTTATGGAAAAACAAGACCTTGTTTTTAAATAATAAAGTCTACGGCATTTCTAAAAATAGAATTTAAAAACTTTCAAATAAATTTTAGTTCATAATCATACGACTTATTTTTTTTAAGTTACAGTTATTTGAATTTTTTATTTTTGTATAATTACACAGCTCAACGAAAAAAATCACCTTTTCTATTCTTTTTAGAAAATGGGAGTGTAATAGTATATACTAGGATGATTTTAGACTATTTTCACTTTAATTTACTCAAAATCCTGACGTGCTATGCAAATTCTAACATCATGTTCAGCATAAAAAATCTCCCATATGTGACATTTCAGGGAGAATTTGGATGCTGAACAGTATTATCGAAACACTAAGCCCTTTGAAGATCATGTCGATTCTGTTGGGAATCATGTGTATTTTTAGTCCAGGATTACGTCATGACTCCCACTTTTATTATTGTTCTATTCGTTCCAAGTTGTAAGCATATCACTCTATTACAATAGTTTCTTCTTTATAGTGTTTTCTTGCGGAGTCTGCAGCGACTGCAGCTTGAATACCAATTGAATTTGCATAATATTGTTCAAAAGGATATAATTGGTCGTTATATACCTCGACACTCTGAAAAAATAGGATAGGGCCGTATGTGTTTTATACAGAGCGTTTCGGAAGTCGCGCACGCTTGGTTAATCTTCCATCAGCAATTATGTTTTTACTTTCTGTGTCTGCAATCTCCCTTATGTAATTTTTTTATTCAAGTTTTTTTTTAAATGTTTCGGCTTTTAAAACAATGTAAAAAAATGTTACAATTACTTTTCAACATTTCTATTACTAAATAGATATCAAATATTTTAGAAAGGGGAACCGGACTCCATTCTGGAGTGACGGAAAAAAGACTCAAATTGCAGACAGGGAGTTAAAGCGCAATTGGTTTTTGGGTTTACAGAAGGTCGATTGGGAGGCGGAGCTGGCAATAGTGATCGGCAAGAAATGCAAAGGCGTCAGTAATGACGACGTCGAGGACTGTATCTTTGGTTACACAGTAGCGCAGGATGTAACGGCGCGTGATTGGCAGAAATCAAAACGAAATGGTGGTCAATTTCTGCTTGGTAAAGGGATGGACACATTCTGTCCCCTTGGTCCAGCGGTAGTTACCAAGGAAGCGATAAGCGAAATCAATAATCTATCTGTGAGAACATGGGTGAATGGCAATCTAAAACAAGATGGCAATACTAGCGAACTCATCTTCAAACCTCACGAAATAGTCGCTTATCTTTCGCAGTTCGTATTTTTCTTAACGATGTGTTAATAATGCAATTAGAAATACGTGTAATAACGATGTTAACGTTTCAGGTTTGTGACGTTGTTACCAGGCGACGTGATCCTTACTGGCACACCGGCCGGTGTAGGATTTACACGTAATCCACCTGAATTTCTGCAGGTATATTTTTATGATAAATTAATTAAATTATAATATTCTTCATCAAGTGTGCATGATATGTCGCCATTAATATTTGTTAATATGCAGTATTTTTCAATTTATGTAAATTTTTTAATTGTATTCTATATTTGATTGTGTGTTTCAGCGTGGCGATGTACTTGAAACCGAGATCGAGAGTTTAGGACGTTTAAGAAACAAAGTGATCTGATCTAAGAGACGGAGCACACCATTGGTTAAAGCATTAACAGAACTTCGTGATCCTCACAAGACTGGAACTATATTCTTTTAAGAGTTGACATCCGTGATGACGTTGAACTAATCTAAGTGCCGTGTCTGGGATTTGATTCCAGCTGGGTATATAAAAATACGCATTCCAATACGAATGCCAATAATTTCAACGCGATTGCGAATGTTTATACTAAAGATAGTATTGCTCCTCTTGAAAAGCTAGATTTTTTACTGATATCATTATCGTTATATTGTTGTTGCAGCTTTTTACTATGTATTACATCTGCGCAATGACACAATGTAACGATAACATCATTGTCATTAAGGAAGTTCGAGCGTTACTTTGGAGTTAAAATTGCAACTGAAAAAAATTGTCATTATAGCGATTCGAAATCATGCACAATATTAGTGTAATAAATTGTGGATATTATTTATGTGCTGTATTCTTAGTAAATTATTAGTGAATAGAATATTAACAAATGTATAAGATGTCGGCTCGAAAAGTCGAGTATATGTATACTTGGCAACGTTGCACTTCGTGATCATGGCGAATTATAAGGGAGAAGCACAGAATCGGACAATAAAGCTTTAAATCTATACGGTCAAATCCGATTGTCCTGTTTTATACACAATTGTTGATATTTCATCTATCAAATCTTAGTTTTTCAAAGTCCTAAGTTGGCTGAGTGTGTATAAATCGGTGAATATCTACTTCGGAACGACTGTCTCCCATAAGACGCTATGTTAAAATGGTCAATTTCAGAATGACATTAGGTACCAAAAAAACTATACGGTTAATATTGCTCAAATTGTGAGATAATTTGTATACAGTGTTTATCTACATCATATTAAAAAATTAAGTCTCTAAATTGAATTTCGACTAACGCTCGAACCTCCTTAAAAGTTACAGAATCTAGCTACAAAGCACAAACAGGAAACGGCGCATAACAATATCGATAATGCAACAACGCTAATTTTTTATGTGTCAATTTTATGAACTTGTATAATTAAAGAAAATTATTTCTATTGTGTCTTTATCTTATCCTACTCCACATATAATAGCAAACATTTTACATCAATTTAAATGAAAGAATTTTCTTTATCTTGATTGCGATATTTATTGAGTCATATTTTTTTTTAATTTATATAAATTTTTAGTTCAGCCTAAAATACTAAAATTAAATTATATTAGTACAAACATTGGGTGCATATCCAACTACACCAAGTACTGCAAAACGTACGTGTTTTTTTCATATCTATTTAAATCCATTTAAAAATACGTATTTTATCACAGAAAATGTATCCCTATATATTTATATATAGTGATATAATTACAACATATATTCAAAATTATTTGTTTGCCAATACATTTTATTATAAATAAAACATGCTTAATGTAATTCATTTTGTTTGTTTTTATCAAATTAGAATAAATTACAGTAGTATGTATTCAGTTTAAGTGACTAATAAACTTGTGTACATATTAATCTCAATGTAAAAATGTAAATAAAATCCTAATGTACATTTATAACGTCAGGCTTCTAATTGCGTACTACTACTTTGAACAAATGTGTTATATTGTTCTGGAATTCCCTTAAACATTTTTATCTTAGCCCGTATTTGCTTCCAAGTTAATTGATAATGATTCTTCTTGTCTCTCGACATCGCCTAGAAATAGAAATAGAAAATATTATATATGTGTAATCAGTTACTTTTTGAGAATAATATTAATTTTATTTGTGGAAAATCTCACCTCGTAATCTTCACCATATTTCTTTATTAAGTAAGTAAGAAATTGTGCTTGTCCATTTGGTAATTTAAAAAGTCGTTCTCTAGGAGCTTTTGCCTCAACTTCTAACTTCTCCATTACATAACTTTTTCGTGCAGTCACTTCTTCATTTTCGTGATCTGATAAATCTTCGTTTCCTGTAACTATTCTCTTGGCATCCTTCAACATCTGACGTTTTACATTAGGAATTTGCACTGCTTTGTTTGCATCATATGCTAAACCCATTTCTTTTAAATTGACACGAGTAGAATGTGTATTCTTCCATTCCTCCTTTATTTGGTCGCTAAAAGTTAAAAAAATAATAGAATTAATAAATAATATAATATTTACAGTATGTTATATGTAATAAGCTTTTATCAATAGGTTGTTCATTTACATATAAAATATAATAATTTTAACATCCATCTGTACAATTTAAACTATATAAACAAGGTATGATCAATGAAGTATATGTTATTTGTTGTTGCAACAGACTGAGTTAAAATACTTCTATTTTCCTTATATATTTTTTTTTATTTATCAGTATTAAAATCAGATTAACAATTATAAAACTTAATTATTTCTTTCTAAATCCTATTATCAAATTTATAATAATTTATTAGGTGTACAAATTGGTTCGATCCGTTTTCTGTGTTCAAAAATGCATTTATTTCAAAACAAAATGAATGAACAGATTAATTAAAGCATTGTCCATCGCTGGCTACTACTTTTTCCCATCTTTCAGACAATTTTCGAATTCCATCTCGAAAAAATGACTCGTCTTTGGAGGCGATCATCTTTTGGAAAACGGAACCGAACTAATTTGTACTCCCAAAACATAATTTGTACATTTTACTAGTATTGTTTACGTAAAAAAGATTTGATAAATATGTACTTATGTAATATAATGCTTCTACTTCCAATTTTCCTATAATTTTGTAAATTAAGTATATTTCCACATGTAGAATATATTCGAAGAAGAAAAATTGTTGCTCAAGCTCTGTTTTTTCATTATACTGCATATTTACTGTCATATGTATAAAAAGCACACTTAATTGACTGGTTATTTGGCATAATTTAGTTTTAAAACATTTAATAAACAAATTAAAGAATTTTTGAAGATAATTGATGAATTGAAGATCTTCTATCATCAATAAATTCCTAAAAATAAAACAACAATTATCTGCTTTAATTAATTAAAAACATAATTAAAAATTAGTTTAAATAATAGCAAAAAATAATTATATTTCAAAATTTATACATTTTCCATTCTTTTTAAAATACAACAAAGATTCTCTGCTTTAATTAATTAAAAACAAAAAAGTTTTTTTTATAATTTGAAGCATAGCAGAGAATAGTTTGTGATTAAAAAAAATTTATCTTTTTTAATTTTTTTATCTAGATTAAAGTTTAAACTTAATATTTTATTAAAATATATACAATAAATTATCATTTTCCTAATTATGGACATAAAAAAACTTCGAAATTTAACACAAAATGGCATGATTTTCTTTATTCTACGCGTGAAAATACATAAATTTACAAAATTACATGAAAATCGGAGGCAAATGCGTTATACTATATTTACAAAAAAAATCATGTAAATTTAACGTAAACAATTTACAAATATTCTAATTCTATGTAAACGTAATCTTGAAATATATGATATGATATTCTACTTTTATGATTTTATAAATGGTAGGTATAGGTTAGAAAATTTACCATGGAATGACCGGCAGTTTCTGTAATTTATTTCGCAGCCTCTTTCGATTCACGTTCTGATTATACTTCTTCTTGCGTTTTAGTTTTTTGATTCTTTTAATTTTCATTTTTTATTCGAGATGTTTTCTCAATGCACGTGCGCGCGTATTTCACTAACTATTTACACTATTGAATTTATTTAACACACGTTCCTAAAGTATGTGCTACATTGAGATGGAGAAGTCGAATATAGCTCGGTTAGTTCCAGAAAACGATACTTCATTGCGAAGAGTGCTGTAATCGAACGATAACGTGGCTATTCAAAAATGCATTTAACACTTTGATGTTTATATATGTATATGTAAAGAATCATGTGTATACAAATAAATTAAAAATTATATATATACGTATATAAGCAGTATATTATAATTATCGATAAAAATATAGTTAATTAAGTAGCATTAAATATAAAAATTAAACAACAAATTTTTTTAATTAAAACTATAATTTTTATTGTTTAATTTTTAATCGAAATAGTTTAAACTATTTTATATTTTTATATATTATTTTATATTTTTGATCAAAAACAAATTCAATAGTGTTTAAATTAAAATGAAATTAAAATAAGAGACTTTTTAAAATAAAAGTCGTTTTTGCATCGTTAAATGCGAGTTTGTTAGAACATTTTTCTAAATATTGCATGTTTTTACAAAATGTTTCTTATTTGTTAAGTAAATAACTTTAAGTTTATTACATACAAATTATTAAAATACTAAACAAAAATATTATAAAAATTGCATAAAATTTAAAGGTATGTGAACAAATGTTTTTTATTTTATCCCCTTTGAATAATGAGCGCATTTTATTTATGCTAAAAATTATTATAAATAAACTATTTTATATATTATTATATATAAATTAATTTCTTTCTCTCTCTTTACAATAATAACTGTAGAAAGAAAGAAATTAGTTTAGTTATTTTTATTTTTTACAATATCATAGTAATAATTTCTTTCCAATACACAGCGACTGGATATTTTATTTTTTACTGCACACGCTAAAAAATATCTTTCACACAAAATACAAAGCAATCAAAAATGCAGACATTCTTAAATTTTAAATATGATTATTGCGTCCGTAATCATGATTTTTAAAGCTCACTTTATGGTTTTAATCTTAAGCACTGAAGAGGACTCTATAACTGTGGGTCGAAATAACGTATGTAATGTTATATATAAAATAAATTATATAATTTGTGTGCAACAATCTTGCGTTGGCACTTTATGTACATTTTGATTAATTTCTTTAGACCCTACACAATTTCACTTTTTTAATGAATTTCAAACTTAATATAGACGGAAAGTAGCTATAAAGTTAATAACAATTATTCAATCTGGAGAGGCAAATAAGGAAACACAGAAATATCTGAGAGAGAAATGTCGAATGGAAAAATGGCAGAGAATTGCAATTATGCAAAACATATTAACTATCCGAAACAATTCTTCGAACGAGGCCGCGCTTGACGCAGTCGAGAGAAGGAAAACCCTCGTGGAAAGTCGATCCCTCGCGGAATAACTCGATCCCTCGAGATGAAATGGAGCGGCAACCCTCTGAAGGACCCAGGAGGGGGTAGCCACGTGAGTGTACATATCGGAGTTTTCGATAACTATTATCAATCGACGCGAGATATCCATGATAAAGACTCGTGTATATGTAAGTGCTCGTTTGTCACCGGGACAAGGCGGTCGCGTGATCGTGAGGTGTCAGTGTATTTCCGGCGATCCTGTCTCTCTCTTTCTTTTTGTTCGGATACCTCCAGAATCATAATCGGCTGCTCCTTTATGCGACGCTTTTCTTTTTTATTAATCACTCAATACTCTTGATTGTGCTCTCTCGACATTGATCGAGCATTCGCGTTTGATTTGTGCTCAATATGGAGCTCGAGGAAAGATAAAGAAATGCGGAAGGATGCACGCTGGGGCATTTTCGTCAGATTTAGTAGATTCGGCATAGTGTTCGCACGTAAATATTTTCCTCGGCGATTGCAAATTGCACATAATTTCGTTGATAGAATTCCTGAAGTAGTGCTCGCGGCGGTCGCGTACGATACCCGCTTTAAAAATATCCGCGATATGAAATCTAAATACTTTTTAAACTAATACGTTATGTCTCCGATAAGCACTACGATTCGATTATAATTACTGTAATCTTCAATGATCTGTGTTTCTCAAAATAACAGATAACGCAATTGATTGGTAATAATTGATAAATTACAGTTAATGTTATATAAATACGTTATTTACGAAATCAGCGTATAATAAAGCAAACCAGAAACAGTTTAAATAGATGATCCGTCCGATAAAGTTTAATTTTCAAAGTTAAAAATTCGTGAAGTTTCTTTTTTTATTTTATTTCATTCCAACGCAACTCAATAAAAAAAAAAAGTCTTTATTTTTATTCCGAAGTTTATTCTGATTTCGAAGACAAAAACGTGATCATTTTACAAATTAGATACTCACTATAATCTCATTAAAACTCCAATCAACATTTTTACAGTTTTATTGTAATAAAGCCAATCGTAACACAACAGGATAATGCATTCATGCTAATTTATTGGAGAATAATTTGCTTAATGAATCAACATTCTCTGTTGAGTCGGAAACAAGCGGCAAGTGAAACAACTATCGATACGGTCAGACAAATCGATAGAATTTCAAGAGTACAACGTATCGCGTTTGAATGAACTGCAAGGATCGCAGCGTGATTCTAAAACGAAATAATGATCTTATTGAATTGAAGTTTTATACATGGTGGAGAGCTTTTCGCGATGATAAAGATATTTATCGAGTGATTGTGATTGTCAGTGATATATGTCAGAACAACGATGTTTCGTGACTTTCGATTTAGTGTTAGGAAGGGTTCGATCTGATTTCAAGATCCGCCTTCCGATCTGTACTCATGGGTTCCCGCAAGATCATCGCGCTGATGATCTTATGGTTGATATATCGAGCAGCAGGCAAAGTTACGTGTCGCGGTGAGATACAGTTGCGTCGCGATTGCGAACACTGTGCAGAATGCGACGCGCTGTGCAGCCCGAGCCGAAATGGTACTGTTTCCTGCGAACTGAGGATCGCCGTCCTTCTGCCGGCCGATTCGAGATATGATATTTCTCTACCTAAGGTTCTTCCTGTTCTCGGTAAGGAGCTATTATAGAACTACTCTGGAGGTCAATTAAAAAATTATAAAAATAGATGCCTACTAAAAAAATATACTAAAAGTGCCGTCCACATAGCGCTAAGTATAAATGTTTCGACGCTTTTAATTGACCAATCGGAAGAAAGAATTTTACTAATTAACCAATCAAAAATTGCTTCGCAGCATTTGTAGTATCAAATGGATAGTCGTCTAAATTTAATAAATCATTTATTTCAATAGTACCAACTAAATATTTGCTAAATGTAAAGATATATTTGTTACACGTGTATATGGTTCTATGAGAAATTTATACCTATAAAATAATATCTTTGTAAACAGTTTTTTATTAGTTGTAAGATTTATAAAAAATCGTAGATATTTACTAACAATTGTATGTTTTACGATACATACGCATAAAATTAGAATATTACTCATAATAAATTCTTACAAGTTTTATATGAGAGAACAAGTTATGATTTAGAATTAGCCTATTAATATTTAATATTGAAAAAATATACATATGTATTTAAGAACCATTAACTTAACTTAATTATTATTTTTTATTGAGTAAATAAATTTATTTACTGTAAGTAAACATTTAGTCGTTGTTATTCAAATAAATATTTATTAAATTTTTTTCTCAGCGTTTAGAGATATGCTCTCTCTCTCTCTCTCTCTCTCTCTCTCTCTGTCTTGAAACAAGGAATAAATTTATTACCCCCAGCAAGGTAATATTTTATTTTTAAATAACGTCTTATTAACGTTAAGGAAATCCTAAAGACCATTAGTCATATTGGAAATAGCACTTACACACAGACGATTCGTGTCACTGACACATCACTACATCAATATCTCACGCCATATACATAAATTGTTGTATCGTAATTATGTTTTAATCAAAATCTAATTTTATAATAATAACTCAGGCATGTATTAATGCGTATTTAATCATGGAAAAGGATTTTCGAATCTGTAAATGACAAAAAAAATATTTACACTACAAAAATTATATATGGTTTACAGACAACTTTAGGATCCCTTAAGACTCCCTTAGGATTTCATTAAGACGTTATTAAGACGTCATTTGAAGTTATCTTGCTATTTAAATAGATTGACCGCTGAAATTATAATATATTATTTTTTTCATTTTTATAATTTTTTCACTTCATTTTAAGTCATATACAGAGTTGACACCTTAAGCTGGTTTTACATTAGTTGCAAGCCGATCGCAAGTTCGTTGCGACAGCCAATCTGAAGCTTGCATTTTGAAATCAACGCTTCACTAATATAGAACCGACTTTAGGTATCTCAGATAAGCTGAGATCAGCAAATGTAAAGCTGAATGAAATCAGTTTTATATACGCGCATCCCCGCAAGTTCAGGTTGTATATAAACATTGAGACTATAATATCGTTTTTTTCCTTTACAGATTTAGCGGTGTACGAAGCGAGATCACGAAATTTACTACCGCATTGGCTTGACCTAAAGTTCTTGCCGCAAGACGATCATTGCGACGCGATGTACGCGCAAATCGGCGCGATCGACGGCTACTCGCATTGTGTGCATTTGTTTCTCGGACCAGCATGCGATTACTGCGTCGGTACGTCACTTTAAATCTTTTTATTTTGAATTTTACTGAACTTTCTTGAAAATTATAATTGCCATAGTCTGAAAATATAAATGATTCTAAAACCCATCTTGTGGTGTTGCTCATATTTCAATCTACATATAAATTACATCCGTTAAAACCGAGAAAACTGTTGCATTATATAAGATTTATTATTCTAATAATTTTATATTAAAATTTCCATAATCTACAACACAAAGATGTGTACTTCAAAATAATTTATAATTGCAGTCGCATTACAAGAGCAAAAAAAATTTTTTTTAATTTAAATAAATTATTATTTTCATATTTTATGTTACGTAGGTAATTGTACCAGTTAGTGGTTGGACATGACCCAATTCGTTGGATAAAGTTGTACAAAATTTTAAATATTAAGTTAATAAATATTAAGCTTTTAATGATATGTACAACTCTAAATA